GCCATTGTTTTTCTTAGTCGTCATAGTTTTCAGTGGTATGCCTGTCTCAGCATCCTTTCACTAAGCATAATGAGCTTGTATTCCAGATAGCTCTTCTGCCAGAGACTCTGTGTGGGAGAGCCTTGATAAGGGCAAGTCTCCATCTCTCTCCATAATCTCATTATGAGCTGCTGATGGACTTCCCACTCTGACCTTTCAACCCTTAGGACTTACATAGTTGTATTTCATCAAATGTCATAAAGCAATTTCTGCCCCATCCCCCACCCCGAGGACAAGTGAGTTAAAGATTCATATCCAGAAAGAAGGTCATAGTAAATTATTAATATTTGACCCAGCTTTTCCCAACGTGAGCATTCATTAGGCCATTCATGATGGAGAGAATGGGTTACGCTTTTTGTTTTGTTTTCCTTTTCGCAAGAGACAAATTTGTTGATTTATTTTAGGTTGTACTTTGTAAGTCCATACCTGGCTTAAGTAAGTTTTCTGTGTGAACATTTTTTTATTTTCAATACTAAACAAGCTTAAGTAAGTTTTCTAAAAACACAGAGTAATGATCAGGGTTTTAGGGTTAAACAGATATAACGGGGTAAATTTCTGACTTTGCAGTGATTCTATTTGATTGACTCTTCAGGAAATGATGCAGCACATAATGAAATCTCAGATTTCATCATGAGTTGAATGAGTTATTTTGGTATGTTTCAGGTTTTCAGATGTGTTAAATTGTGAAGGGGAACTATTTAGACAGTAATTAATGAGGATGCATGATTGTTTTATTATATTTACATTTAAAAAATAGTTCGTTATTTTGACAAAAATGTGCATATATTGAAATTATTATAACTGATTTTTGATATTTTGACATTGATAACTGATGCAGCTATATTGCCATCTTCAGATCAATACATTACAGCATATTGATGCACTTTGACATCAGACATCACTTTAAACACTACACAGTTTAATGCTTATGCTGTTGAAAAATGCTATAGGTAGTTTCTTCTTATGAATTCCCATTGTTTTTAGAAATACAGTGCTGTGCAAAAATCAGAGACCACATTTCATTTATTTAAATTCCAGTCAAAATGTTTTGGAGGAGAATAGATATAAAATAATCCACCTGCGTAAGAAAAAGGAGAAAGTCAAAGGAAAATAACAGAAAAAAACAGAAGTTTCCAAAACTGATGTTCAAGCAACTGTCATCATCAGATTACAGTAACCAAAACTTTCATCTTGGAGAGAGAGGAGAAACTCAACACAATGGGTTTGAAGGATGTGTAGCTGTCAGAAAGCCATTATGGAGAAAAGGAAAGAAACAAAACAAATCAAACAAAGAAGCTGCTGGTGTTCTCAGAAAAATGGACTGACTACCTCAGAGTCCAGACCTCAGTATCACTGAATGTGTTTGGGATTACTTGGATTGTGAGAAACCATAAAAGACTGATAAATGCAAGTGGTGGACACAGTAAATACGGAAAAGTTTATATTATTATTGATTTGGTTGAGGTTTTTTTTTTTTACTCTGAAAACCGAACAGCTTAAACTTAATAGCCTTTTGACTGGTAATTAAGTGAGTAAAGGTTGGTCTCTGACTTTTTTATAGTACTGTTTCTAAATATTCTTAGTGTCTACTGCTCACCTAGTTCTGTTCAATTCACTCACAACACGGAAGTGGACATACCACACCTACGGAGGTATCAGTTTCTGGCATACATGTAGTGGTTTCTTTGCAGGTTAGGAGGGCACTTTTATACTCAAGATGAGAATATATTGTTCTAGAATCTCTGTTTAGTTCTTTTCTCTGCCACCTCATACTGTCATCTGGTTTTTGTTGTCTAATATGCTATTCATGTCTAGTCGCCATGGGTTGTCTAATATGGATTGTTGAGAGAGGCAAATTAGGTTTAATAGATAAAGACTTTGGACGAAGAAAAAATTGGCTGTTATGTAAATCAGAGATACTGTATATGCAGTGCTCCAAACTCAATGACCCTTTTATATAATTGGGTTGACTGAGTGGTCAGTGGACCGTGTCTGAGTGTGCTTGTGAACTCAGCAGGAGTGGTGGAAAACGGAGCGTCCTGTGGTGTTTGAGAGCCATGAACTCCAGGACTATCCCAATTCCTCCTCTGCACCCCTCACTACACCTACATCTCATGCATATAAACACCTCTTCTGTCTCTGAAAAGTGTGTTTCAAAAAGTCGTAACTTTTACATTGCACATAAACGAAAAGAAATATATAGTAAATATCTATGGGAGTGAAAGTGCACTTATTCTGTAACTTGTCTCTGACCTTGCTTTGGCTCAATAAAACTTTATTTCTTTCCTTCTCTTCTTCTTTCTTCCTTCTCTGTTACCTCTTAAAGCTTGGAACTTCGTCTTGGCTTTATATTCAGTTTTTTTCAAGTCTTTTTTCAGAAGATACAGTACAGATTGTCCTCACAGACAATTCTTTGTACTGACTCCTGAATTGCTGCTAAAACTATTATGCAAATAACACTATATTTGATATCATACATTGTAAAAAATGACTGTAGTTGGACATTTGTGATCCACACATATGCCGCCAGTATGGGTTAAAGGTTTATTTTCTAAATATTCTGCATCCTGTGTATCCTCTTCACTGACCAGGCATCTGTCATAAGCAGTGACCCTGTGAGAGTAGAGCATGCCCAGTCCAGTTGCAGTTTGTTCCAGACGTTTCCCACCCAGTGGGAGAGATCAGGAGCAGCCAGCAGCTTGTAAATAAGCCTGAAACAGGCCCTGTCAGACATACTACTGGCCTTGACTACTGTGCTGGAGCCTCCGCTAGATATTTTGAACTGCAGCCCAGAGCTGCATGTTTGTTATGATGCCAGTGAGCCCTGTGGAGGAGGACTGGCATTGCTGATCATTGCTCTGCTGCTATAATAGGAGCTTGACAACATGATACACATTCATTCTCGCTTCTGTCTCACGGTCACTCTTTCTCTCTCTCTGTCTCTCTACGTCCTCAACTGCTTAATCCTTCCTATAAAGATCTCTTTCCAACACCTCTTTCGCTTCAAGCGATGGTTCAGCCAAAAATAAAATATACAGTTTTCCACTTACCCCAGATGTAGTCCTTCAGCCAAGGTGCCCAAAGTTTGCTTCTTTAGTTTTGTACTGGAGCTACAAGGCTAATGTAGCTAACAAATAATGGAAACTTGTTGTAGACATGTATTTGATTTGAATATTACACATGAATAGTAATATTATCATGGGTACAGATGATATTGATGATTTAAGACGACTGCTGCTCTGTTGTAGTTGTATGACACACTTCTGGCATTTTTAGGTAACAGTATAGTTTATCATACAGTGTCAGAAACCACGTAAGCAAGTCTGAGATTTTGTCTAATTTTGGTGGAACCATTGCCATAATGCCTTACCTTATAATACTATATCTCAGTAGTCCGTTTTAATTTCTTTCCGTTTCTGTCCGTTTCTTCGTAAGTATTAGAAGAAACTTGGGAAAATATTAGCATTCTTAGAAGTAACTTGGCAACTTGCATCAAAAGAACAAGAGTACCAGGCATCTAAACAAAAGCTGATGATTTACTAAGTTCAAAGACAGTAATCAGCACAGTGGTTCAGCATGACATCAGAGATGTCCAGAGGTTAATATGCAGTTCTGGTGAAGGAGTACATGAGCTGCGTTCCAAAGCCTAGGCTGCAGCTGAGGTAGGCTGCATTTCTCGGCCGCTATGTACAAGTGATGCAGCCTACATTCTGAGTGATTTCAAGGACTCATCAGATGTATCCTTCCAGGCTTTTGTTATCCACAGGTCTCTGCGCGAAGACAAAAAAACACAGCAAAAATGGCAGAAAATGAAGCCGTTGGAGCAGAGTTTGTTTTAAAATCTCAATTGTTCATGTACTTGAATTCGTCTTCATTACTTTATAAAGTGTGAAGTGACTAGTTAAAGCATTCGTCCATATATCGTATTTTATTTAAAAAGTATATTTATATAAGTAGTTTATCATACTACATAAGAACATCTCCATGTCTGTGAAGAAATGAAAAAGCAACAAACACAATGCAACGGGCTCCATTTTCTCACGTCAAGTTCCCTCACAAGTTTCGTGCCGCTCCGTTGACGCCTCCTTGCAGCCTCGTTCGGACTGTTCTATTTGTGTGACCAACAGACTACTAAGGAGGAGTCTTCGTAGGACAGTCCTACCTTTCTTATTTGCATCAGCTAGAAACTAATTGTGTTTCTAATTTGTATTTTCTGGAAGCCTGTTTTTGTCTGTTTCATTGTTGTTACTAATGATCATGGCTGAGAAGGAAATATCTCTTTTTAGGGGTTTCCCACACACCATCGTCTTCAGAATTTTCTCTCCATGTGCACAATGTTGTTTCTGTGTAATCTTTTTTCTTGTGGATGTGCCGAGAAAGCCATACAAGGAGTTCTAAATTGTAAGGATTATTTCTTTCAATGGCTGTTATGATAAAGATTATATCTAGAGCTTTTTTATCTTGCTAATGTTTCTCTACTGGCTAGTCTGTCCATTCAGATATTTTTTTCAGCAGTTCAATGACTGATATCTGCATAGCCTATTAGGTTGTGGTAGAGAGTCTTTCCAGTGTACAGTCTTGCTGACAAAACGCCATCAGAAACCTTTGAAAGTCTTGTTATTGTCCATAAACTGAGCTAAGATAACGACAGTGCTTCTCCTGCTCTCGTTCTTCAGCTCAGGGCCACTCAAGCCACTCAAGGTAACAAGCTGAAAATGGCCTGTGTATATTAGAGCCACAGCAATATCTGCGGCCAGACTTGCTAAATGACTCCTAACATGTTGAATTGTAGTTTTAGCTATTCACATGGTGATGTGAGGCGCATTTATTTTCTTCTGTTTTCTGCCTCCCCTATGTGGCCATATGGGAGGCATCAGTGGCAGCTTTGCAAAGGCAACAGTTTTTCATTGTGAATGACCTTGTTCTATATGGGTAAGTGGCTGCATGTGTGTTGAATATGTATATGGGTATTTCAGCAGCTTTTGTGTGTGTACACAATTATTAAGACATGTCCTCTATGTCTCACTCATATGCTTTCCGAGAAAAAATGTTCTGAGGTAAGAATACATCAGATATACTGTGACACTGTCTGCATAAGTGTTCATTACCTTTCTTGATATCATTGTGGTTGAATTGAGTTTAATTTGCATGTGTCGGTGCTTTTATTTTTTATTTGATGCGTGATTGCTGCTGTGCTCCATAGTGTTCTTCATATCATAGCATTTGTATGAATGTCACTGGTGGAATTTCCCTTCCTGTGCTGGAGATTGTTATTCATTCCCATTATCATTCAAAGTAGTGACCCTTTAAAGCTTGTAGAGATGCTGCTTCAGCTTTGGAAGCCTTTAACGGATAACTGTAACAGGTGTTTTCACAAACTTGTTGTCTTATTTTGGCACTTTCTGAACAAACATGTTTGTTGACCTGTGTCCTCTCTTGTTGTCTTCTGTCCGCAGTTGACCAAAGCATGTTTGAGAATTCCAATGCAACTGAGCAGCCGAAGCAGAGCTTGAGGCTGGGCCTGGTCTCCTCCAGCCCAGCAGCACAAAAGAGCGGCAGCGGCAGCAGCAGCAGCCAACACCTGAAGAACCTGGGCAAGGCCGTCGGAGCCAAAGTGAATGACCTGTTGCGCCGCAAAGATCCCAGCAGTCTGGGGGACATCGGGGTTACAGAGGTTAACAAGAATGTGGAGGCAGTGTGGGCCAGTCTGGCCGAGATGGGCCACGGCACAACCGCTAACAGGTAATAATGCATAAGCCCTGCTTCATTCACAAGTGTGGAAAGATTATCCAATTTTTGGTTTTATATGAACTCAGCATTGATGGGAATTCAAGGAAAATTTATTAAACATCATACACTTACCTTCAAGCACATGCACAGACATTTTGAGGGTAGAGGCTGCAAACAAAAAAAAGAGGGGAGGGGCAACTTGATTGTGATTGACAGCATATGCATGCACTTTTATCCATAGAGTCTAATCAGGTTTCAGATGAAAGCAAACGTAATCAGGCTCTTTACCAAAGAGTCTTATTGGCAGCCTAAAACATTTTCTTGGTTACTTGAGTGTTCTTGTGAGAGCAGAGCACTCAATTTTCTGTTTACAAGGCAGCAGTGTTATCCATTGCTTGTCCATATTTATTTGACATCTATGAAATAAAGTGAGAAAAATTAGGTATTACTCTCTTTTAAAAGGTGAGCCTGGTTTACAATAATGAAAAAATGATAAGCACCCTACCCCACAGTCAGGGTCTGTTTTTATACATGGATTGTGTATCGTCACTTTCCAAAGAAAAAAAAACACAAGTATCTTGAAAATGGCACCTTTACAGGAGAAGGCAGAACGTTCTTTACTTTTAATGTAAGTTAATGCAAAAAGATTTATTTCAAGTAATTTTAGAGCACTTCTATTAGTCCATTATTCATGAAATTGTCACACAAGGTAAAGCTGTTGTGGTAAAATGAAGCAGAAAAATAAAAATATAAATGTTTGCTTTTTTTGAGATTGCAACAATATTTTTGTCTTGCTAGTTGGTGTGCATTTTGAGGGCATTTAGCAATAGCCAGTTGACAAAACAAGAAACATAATTACACAAGTTGGCTATCAAATTTCATAGAAATCTATTCACAAGAAATAGGCTTTGTGTATAAAGACATGTTTGATTTAACTTCCTCAGTGGTGACAGTTTTTATGACTTTGTAAATTAGGATAGAAACTTGCTTTGAAATTGCTTCAGATGAAATGTTACAGAAGGGAAAAAACAACAATAATCTAGGCTACGTAAAAGTTGAGTCATAATGAACTCTATGAAGTTGAAACGCCATGAAATGGCAGGAAGGGGATGAAAAAAGTACTTGCATGATTCTGAAAATCAACTGAATAAGAGGAGGAATATGTGCTATGGAACGTTATGGGGAGGAGGCTGATGTCTTGCTGTCTAGGGGCTGTCTGTCAGTGTAGTTTATCACATCCAGTAGCTAAATGAATTTCACAAAGTATGCATTAAAAATTGTATAATTTTTTGGCAAATTACAGTACCAGAGCTCTGCTCTGATGTGCACCAGTCCAAGACAGACTAGCCTTGGTAAACATGCATAATCTGCACATAGACACAGAGGATCATTAAGTCAGTCATACCAAATGCACATTATAACCATTTCAGTGCAACAGCAGCTTGAAATTTTGGCATTCAATATGTATAATTAAAACAGGAAAAAAAATGTGAGCCTTAAAAATTCATACGTTTTTTTCCCCCAGATAAAGTGAATGAATAAATTAGCAGCAAATAAGAACACGTCTTAATGGGCTCTCTTAAGCTTATTGTGTATACTCAACTTCTGTCTCTTCGTGTTGGCATTGCAGAGGCTGCTGCTTTTTTGCTGTGTTGCTCTGTCAGTTTAATCATTTTTTGCTTACTCCTTTACTTTGGAGATTCATCTGCTGTGTAACACAGCAGCACGGAAGCAGAGCAGCTAACCCTGCACTGCTTCATTGATCGGTCTGGTAGTGCCCCATGGAGGGTCATTCATTTTGCCTGGTTCTGTTTTTACTGGTGCATCACATCAGCTGTGGAGTGAATGTGAAAGCAGGAATGTGGAACGTGCGACGTAAGTCTTGCATCACTGGGGACGTGATTGACATCTCTTTGAGTGGAAAAAGCCTCTCAGTCAGAACATTTTTCAGGCAGTCGTTCACAATATCCCCGAGTGAAACTGTGTCTTGCCATCAGTATGAGTGCCCCACAAGGGAATGTGTGGGTGTTTTGTGGGGTGTTCTGTCTGGCTTGCAAACTTTGACAATACTGACTTAATTGGCTGGCAAACAACTATTTATGTGTGCTGTATAATGAGCACATTTCTCTCATTTGTGTGCTTTAAGTCTGCTTGTAGACTCAAATAGTGTTGGGTGATTTTTAATTAGAAACTGAGCGACGGATAAGATCTCACAGGCTCATAGGTTTGCAGGTTTGGCACTCTGTGTCTCTTTGTATATGCATTACATATGATCAATTGACCATGCTAGCAGCAGGCTGCTTTATGGCTGTTATTAAAGTTTATATCTGCATCAGGCCATGACTAAAACCTCTACCGTCATAAGCTTATAAATTACACGCTGTATTTACAATTATTTAACTCATCGCAACCTCTGAAAAGGTCATTATTCCAATGATTTTTGAATAGATCTTGAAATTGTTGATTTAATTTTAATTCTAAGCTGATGAATGATTTAGCCAATACTGTGATTTCAGCTTCAGCTTGTAATTTTAGCTTCTTATCCTCAATTACTGAACAAGACAGACCCTTTAATGATGGCTTATGTGTGGAATTAAGACTGAATTTGTAATTCTGTTGTCACAATCATGTTATGTAGATACACTCATCGTCAAAAAAAAATAGTTGCACCCAGAAGGAAGAGTCGGATTGCAATGCTATTCGGAAGGAAGATAAAGGTTACCAGGAACAGTTAATGATTAAGAATTTAGACTGATATGGGCAACATTTATTGAGCTACACATTCAGAAGTAGTGTCTCTCAGTATGGCGTTGGGCCCCCATGTTTGCTAAAGCAACATGCCAGACGTCTCTGCATGGAGTTGTAGAGGTTGCTAATGGTGTCCTGCGATAATCCATCCCATGCAGCTTTGATAGCGTGTCCAGTAGCATCAAACCCACATTTTCAGTCGGGAATAGGTCTAGCGATGCGGCCAGCCATGGCATAGTATCGGTGTCTTCAAGGCAAGCTCTTGAGACGGCACCAGTATGCGGATGAGCATTGTCCTGTTGGAATAACACACCGGAGTGTGTGCATTCAGAAAAGGTAGGGCCACTGGTTGCAGGACCTCATTAGCGTAACGTTGGCCCGTAATGAAAACCAAAGGTGATCTGGCATCGTACGAAATTACACCCCACATCATGACACCAGGCCTTCCGTACGTGTGAGGTGTGACAACAAACTGTTCCTCTTGACGCTGATGGTGCCCCCACACACGGATTTGTTGGTCGTCTCCACCAAGACAAAAGTGGGACTCATCACTGAAGATGATCCGCTGTCATTCTGAGTCACTCTATGACAGTCTGGCACGACACCATTGCAGTCTTTGGCAACGTTGACGTGGTATTAAGGGCAGTCGTTGTAACAGTCTGCGTGCATGTAGTCCTGCGTCGTGCAGCCGTCTGCCAATGGTACTGGCACTCACAGGGTGACTCATGGAGAGCATCACTGCTCGCTGAATGTCCACAATTATGGCTGTTGGGTCACTCCACGCATGTCGGACAATCTGTCGGTTCTCCCTCTCCATGGTTCATGTAGGTCTCCCAAGTCCTTCATGTTGCTGGTGCATACCTTCTTCTATCCACTGCCGCCAACAGCGTGCTGTGGTAATGGCGAGCAATACGTCAATAAGACCATCCCACTTCCCAGAGCCCTACGATGCGACCCCTCTCAAATTTCTTCAACTGCTCGAATTGCTTTCGAACTCTTCTCCAAGGCATACTTAGCTTGCAAAGAATGCTACTAACACAATAGCAGGAGTCAGAATGGAAAGCACAAGCAACAGGACGACCTTGTATAGTCAGTCAGGTACAGTGCTAAGGCCTGTCCTTGCTTACGTCACATGCGCGGCCGAGCGTGAAACTTAAATCATTCGCGTGTTTAACGATGTTAGACCTACCCACCAAGTTTCATTCCTGTCGGCTGATTCCTTCTGGGTGCAACTATTTTTTTGTGGATGAGTGTGAATGTACAAAACAAAGTATCAATCACAAAAATTTTAAAAAGTGCTGTGCTGTAATAATCAGATTGTCGTTTGAGGGATTAGAGTTTAGTTTCTGTGTTAAAGTTGCCACATCTGGAGTGTAACTTAATGTACATACATTTGCTCCTCGATCTCATCCTCTGGATGACCCTGCATCTTTAGAGATAACTGTCAGTTCATCACAGAACACAGTCTCTGCTGTTTCCCTCTGTCTCTGACTGCCTTTTATTGTGTTTGTATGTGTATTTAACAGTGCGAGAGACTGTTCAGCTGTTTAACTCTTAAATAAAGTAAAAATACATTTCTGATTCTGTATGAAGTGGTTAAAATGTGTTGTTGCTAATGATTTTAATGGTGGAAATTTTCAGTGATTTATATCAGTTTGGTGGCTGAGAATATAAGGTTTCCTGTCTCTAGAGGTTGCCATCTATGTTTAATGATGGAAAACAGAAAATGATTTGGCTTTGGAAATCAATCATCAATCATTTAGAAAAGCACATGTGGCAGTCAGAAATTTCTCCAGTAGGAGGCTATAGAAATTAAAAATGGAGATGCATCAAGAATTATTTTATTATCGTCTTGACATCCTGAATCGAAACTGAATCATGAGGTGTCTAGAGATTCCCACCCCTAATATAAAAACAACCTGTCTGAGATGATACTTTTTCATTAGTACAGCATATGGTGGGTCAAATAGAATATTTAGTTGCACATGATAATTATACAGCCACAGTCGACCATACTGAGGTCAGCTCAGTGTAAAAATTACCATTATTAATGGTTTATTGACTAAACCATTAATAATGGTTTAGTCAATACTGTGATTTCAGCTTCAGCTTGTAATTTCAGCTTCTTAACCCCCATTACTAAACAAGACAGGCCTGTTAACACGTCATTTAGGTGCAGCCTTTCTGGGCAATGAAGAAAACAAATTGTCTTAACTGAGTGTCATCTTCAGTGTTCTTCTTTCTCTCACACAGTCACATTTCCTTGGACCCCTTCCCTCGTCTGGATCCACCACCTCCCACCAGCAAGAAGCGTCTTCCTCGGGCTTTGAAGACCACTCAGGACATGATGATCTCCTCTGACCCTGTGGTAGCCTCCCCCGAAGTCTCTGATTCCTCCCTCCTCTCCTCTCCAGATAAGAACCGCCTCTTATCCACAGGCAAAGCCCAGGATCAACTCCAACCCTGCCCTGAAGAGTCTGGTCTGGATCTAGAGAAACCTTCAGGACCCAGCGCCCTTCTGAAGCCCCAGATAGAGGACGAGGTGATGGGATCTGAGGTGAAAGGGCAGTCCACTGATACAGATGCTGTGCAGATGGCAGATGAGCTGAAGGAACAAGATGCTGCGAATGAAGACCCGTCTCAGCTGCTTCGCTCTGTTCCTGACCTCATTCACAAGGACAACCTGGAGCTCAAGCAAAAACTGACAAGCTTGGAGACCAGAATGGCTTCCACACCATGCCCAGGGAAAGGGGGCTGTCGCATCAGCCTGAGTGAGGAGGAGCTCCTGGAGAATGGTTCAGTGGACTACAAAAGCTGCATGAGAAGCTCCAGCATGGAAACAGAGGAACCCCACCCAGATCTGCTCTCATTTGAGTAGTTCCCTCGTACTATGCAGGAGGACAGTGTCAATATCTTATTCTTAAACAACAACCCAGTCTTCACCCCAGGTGTCTCAATTAAGTGGTTCACCTGGAGAGCCGTCTTCACTATGAAGTGCTGTTTGATTTGAATGGGGCGGATGGTCACTGATTCTACTGGCCGTGTGCCTTGAGAGAGCCAAGCAAAGCGGCTTCATCTTTCTGATCTTTATTTGAACCACTGTGTATTTCTATGTATGCACTATAACATGTTTATTATGCCTAATTTTATATCGTATCACCACAGATGTATTCTGACTATATTTTACAGCTCTAATTTCTTAAGAGGAAAAAATCACTAATTTAGATTTTTAATCATGTTCTGTCAGTTCGTTTAGCCTTTACAGAGGTTGTATTAGTTTTATGTGTTTTTGTACTAAAAGATCGAAACTGCAGGCTCATCAGTAGAAACCAAAGTGAGTACATTTCATATGCTGTAATACCTCTAAAGCTGTTCACGCACCCCGTATCCTGCATGGGCAGCTCATTATGTGTGATATTTTGTTTCACTCTGTCATTCATTTTGCTTCCATCAGCTCAGTTTCTCCCAGAAATCAGCAGCTATAGGGGTAAGCTTACAAATCCTGAGCCTTGTAGAGCATAAAATAGCTGATGACAACACTCTATTTTGTGTTTTGACTATTTAATTCGACAGGGACCTATGCATTCACAGCCAAGCAGAACATGCTGGAGGACTGAGAAGGACAGATGAAGAATGTAGGGGCCGAATTCCTGATGAATAGAAGAGCCTTTGTCTTTACTCCTGAAAGACTCAAACAACCTGTTCAATATACTAATATAAAATATATACAATATATTGGCTGTTGTTAATCAAAGTTGCATACGATCAAATCCGATCGTAAAAGGAGTGCACATAAATTACACCAACAATTTTGTTATTTATATATTCAATGTATATTATATATTTCATTTCTGGCATATCTGTATAGTCAGACTGGCGTCTGGTAGGAGTGTGTGTAAATTTGAGCATAATAGTTCATACAGTCTGAAAAAATGCTTGATTTGCAGTTAACTAATCCGAACTACTATAAATTGAATCTATAATACAAATAATAGGAATAAAACTATAAATAACTATACTACTAATAATTTGCACACATGGCAGTCCAGTCCAAAAGTGGATATACTTGATTTTACATGCACATTCGTAAAAAAAAAGGCTGCAACTGTTCCATGTTTCGTTTGAAGATACATTACACAGTGCTTTTGTTTTATACTACTGACAGCGGCCAAAAAATAACAAATACAAAAGACAGCTAGTGCAGAAGCATCTCATACACTGCAATTATAAAATATGTTTAAATATGTAATTTTAGGAAAATAATCACACTACACTACACAATCACATTGTTATGCGTTAAAAAAACCATTAGGCATTTTGTTCATTTCACATTTTATTCTTTCCAGTTTTTGTAATTTTAACACTAAATTGTGGTCAGCAGGGGGAGCACTGCAGTCACTGCTCCACCACTGACTCACAAGCTGCTGAATGCTGTCGTGTTATTGGTCCACTACCAAAACATCTGCATGAAGGCTGTGCTTCATGTAAATGATATGTAAATGAGGTGCTGTTAGGCTGGCGCTTGATTTCACGCGCTGAAGCTGATAAATTTGCCTTTAAATCTCTGCTTGTTTCAACATCATACAAAAGGTTCATAAATCAGACACAGAGTAGTTCATACGTCATTAAAGGGGATGAAATCTGCGCTCTTTTTATGCTACTTTGATAAATAAGGGCCAATATGTATTAGAACCAATATACAGTACAATATACTCTACTCATTACAAACATATAGTGTGCCTGTAGCAAAGTGTAATGACTAAAAGAACGTTTGTGTATTTCCAAAGCAAGGTCCAGAAGCAAAGCTTGGCCACCCTGACCGGTCAGGATGAGAAATAGAGTCGGACAGAATGAGGCACACTAGGTAGGAAAGCTCAAAGCAGCTTTTGATGCCGGTTAGAACTGGATGTGCATCACAGAGCTTATAGGGTCATACAGTGGCTGTGGGTTTGTCATGGCAATAATCGTCAAAGTGATGGCAGGCTTGCGGAATGGCACTAATGAGGCGTCTGTCAGTGGAAAGGTATGAGAACAGGCTCAGTGGATCTGCGGAATGTCATAACTCAACACGAATTTCGGCTGACCTCTCTTTGGTGTAGGCAGCCTCTGACTCCCCTGACCTTCAAAAGAGATGTTTTCAGTGTCAGACAACTCTTTCTCTTTAAAAAAGGCTCCAAAACTTAACTACCTTCCACCGTCTCAAAATAAATGAAATTACAATATATAAATATATATGTTACACTATGCCTAACACAAAGAAAAAAGCTCTATTACAGTTTCATGGGAGATATGCAATAATTAGTAATTACAGTATCTGAACACTGAATACTCATATCTTTTACCAGGGGTTTTATATGAAGAGGAGTTGTGCAATTGCAGTGAGTAAACGTGGGTAAACAGAAGGTTAGAATGAAAAGCAGTACGTACCTGTGAAATGCTCAAGTGATGGATTTATTGTTCACTTAAAGTGCATTGTGAAGATGGAAATGTTCTATAAATGTAACTCAAGGATAAATATCTTGTCATACATGTCACACAATTAATTTGTTTACCAATGTGTCTTACTTTCTGTCATTCTTAGTAAGAGCTACAGTACGGGCTTGGAGTTGGAGTTGTCAGGGAGGACTCTTAGTCCTGATTTTGAACACTAAAATTTAGACAGAAAATGGAGAAAATTTACAAGAGGATCGTAATCGTTGTATAATTGCTGTGCTAATGCTGGCCACTCGCTGTGTGCTGTATTGGGTCATAAAATGTGGAGTAAAATGTTTTTTATGGAATATTTTATGATCCCTTTAAGATTGCTATGTATATGTGGTGGGGAAAAACATCAATGAAAAAAAATGATATCTATTTTAGTCATAGTTTTAAAGATGACTTTTATACTGAGCTGTAATGAAATAATGGGAATGTATTGAAAAAGGATGATTCTTTTTATTACAGTGATATATGTAGTTTGATAATTGTTCAGTGCTTTTTAAACTGTCAGTTATCTGTGGTCTGATCACTTTCACAATGTTCTGAAATGAAGGAAGAAAAGAAGTGCTGAAGGAAAGACTCCTGTTTATGAAGGTTTGATGAGCACACTAAAATGTAGTTAGAGGTCCTCAAGTGTTCAAGCTTTTATATTAAAGACTTTTGTCAAAAGATACCCTGTGTGTGTCTGTACTTTACCTGTGCCAAATGTGCCTCAGGACTGTGTGAAACAGTTCAGAGCTCTATGCTTGTCTGCTAGAATCTCTGCTGTATTTTCTGCGTGCACCTGTCTGGGCTGTCTTGTTGAACCCGGTTCACAGAAAAGTCTTGACGCTACATCAAACCCTTGTTTTCTCAGGATTGCAGCACTTGAATTGACCATCACGCTGAAACAGGTCTGTTGTGACAAAATTCATAAATGTTTAAAATACTCCACTCTTGCTCTGCTTTCCCATTTCATGCACACTGACTCTTTCAGGCACCGCTGTGCAACATAAAGCTTTCTTAAAACGAGAGGTTTTTTTTTGTTTGTTTGTTTGGGTTTGTTCAGGCTAAATTAGCCTGTTATCTCTGGAGACATCTGGTGCTAGATTTTGCCCAGAAAAGTCAGACAAACCATCAGGCCTATTTTAAGCACTTCACCCCATATGGTAGCTGGATACACCAGCATTTAAGAACATACAGCACCAGTTAGTTAGAGGTGGGACACATCTGCTTATAGAAGGCTTTCTTTACTTTTCCTATTTTCCTTTACATTCTATAATAATATTGCAATACTAATCAAACATCTGTTTTAGATTCTTCTAAGTAGCCCCACTTTGTATAGACACACTGCATTCTCCCAAGCTTCTTGGGATGCTTTTCCAACAGGCTCTACATTTGCTACAATCTTTGCTGTTGAAAACTACTCAATTAGATGTGTCCACATTTCTGACTAGGACTGTAGGACAAGGCTTTTTTGTCTCTTATGGATGTGCATTACTACTAATCTATGGCAGCGTGTACAGTGCTGTGCAGAAGTCAGAGACCACTTTTCATTTATTTTATGTCAAAACAGCTATTAATTATTCATTGTTCAGTGTCAAGAAAAAAGCAGAAAGTTTAATTCACAGAAAACCTCAAAAGTTTAGTCTGTCCACCCTTTTCCTTCCATTTTTACTTCCACTTTTTTCTTCTGATTTTTTGGGGAGTTTCTGAAAGAAATCTGGAGGAATGCTTTTTCAGTTTAAGTTCTGTCACTAAAGTTGGTCAAATTGTCTGTTTCTCATGATCCAAATAATCCCAAACACATTCAGTGATGTTGAGGTCTAGACTGTGGGGTGTCCAGTCTGTTGTTTCCTAAAACACCAGCTGCTTCTTTGTTTGATTTGCAGATTTTCTTCCTGTCTTTTTTTCTTTTCTCAGTAACAGCGTCTTGACAGCTACACATCCTTTCAGGCTCATAGTGTTGAGTTGTGGAAGGATGGACAGAAACACCTGTGGATTTTCAGCTCTGAAACAAGAGTGGAGCTTGATTCTGTCCTCTCTCTTAGAAATAAAAGCTTTAGGTACTGTTAAGGACAGTTTTACTGGTCTACAGGGTCTTGCACAGTTGTTAGGAGTCCTGTTTTCTCTGTATCTTTTGATCTTTATCTTGAAAAGTGAATCACTTGTTTTAATGGCCATTTTGACTGAAGGTTAAATCAATGAAAGGTGGTCTCTGACTTTTGCAGAGTACTGTCCTCATCTCTGATCACTGATGGCTGTATTTATGTAAAGGTGAGGTATGAAGTTGTCTATTTATGACAAAACGCATGGCATGTAACCAGTTCGCATTACGAAATACATGAAGGCAATATATAATGGATTTGACTTGAAATTGCAACAGCCCTTCAACACAGAGACACTAATATAAATACAGCAGAAAACCAGTGAGGAACTATTTGTATTTAATACAGGTTTGGGAGAACCATGCACAGTGAGTGGCTTTAAAGTGAGAAACTCTTTGCTAAACTTGAGTAAGTATGAATCTGGAGAGGCCACAATTGAACAGTAAAACCACAAATTCAGGGAATCATCTATAATGAAAAGAGAGTGAGTATCTGAGTGTCTGGAAAATGTGTGTATTGAACTTTTCAGACAATACTGTCTTTGAAACATGCTCCTAATTAAGTTCTAATGTACTTCTGCTTCCAGCAAGAGAATGAAATATTACAGTAACACTGGTGAATAATTGAAAATGCATTTTGATGATGAAACTGGAGAAAGCTGAACTTTCTTTTCTGCTCTGTTCTCTTCAGTAACTGGCAGACTCCCTGCCTATTTTAGGCATATCCTGTGTTTTACAGTGTCTTTCCCTCATGCACAACGACCATGGCAGCTTGTGTCCCATTAATCACTGCCAGCCAGACATCCTGTTTAGACTGAGCAGATTTATGAGGGAGAGTTTTCCTCCAGCACATTCAAGAAAAAGCGAGAGATGAGAAGTTTATCTACAACCCCTGTACAGTAGACTGCGATAATCAAAACTCCAGGACATACTTCAGCTTGCATAGCAGTGTAAACTGGGGAATGGAGGTGGCACCAATCCAATAATACTGGATAAGTATAGAGCAAAATGTATGGAATATTTTTTTCCTTCTTCTGTTTATGGAATATCAAAAATTTGATGTATGTTGAAATATTTGTTTGAAATATTGACTGACTTTGTCAAAATAATGATTTACTATGTTCAAATAATTACTTTTTTGATATATAGTAATTATTTCAACATGATACATTGGAACTTCATCTTAATAACTCAAAATCTCAAGAAAATAAGTCATTATTTTAAGATACTAGGTCAAAAATGAGAAAGTAATGAACATTACTTTGTCAAGATTTTGACATACTACTGCCAGAAACAGAAGGAGGAAAACTCATAGCTGATTTTTTCTTGATCCACTACCTGGTGGGAATTGGTTTCCATAGAAATGTATCACCTGCCATTTATTCACAACTGCACACCTGACCTTTTACTGCACTACAATATATTATTATTATTCCACTTCAATGCTATATATCTCTTTCATATGTGTTTCACTATATATATATATGTGTGTGTGTGCGTGTGTGTGTGTGTGTGTGTGTGTGTGTGTGTGTGTGTGTGTGAATATTTACTTTTAAAGATTTCCCAGAAGGCTTTTTTAAATGCCAAAGAAAGTTAGCCCCAAAGTTTTCTGGAAGCTGCACCTGCCCTCCTCCCTCTGCTTAGATTGGGGGCGACATTGTCAGAATTCATTGGGTTAGAGTTTTTGTTTTTTTCCCCTTCATGCATCCCTCAGGTTTTTGACTCCTATTTTCGTACTATAGATTTCTTCCTTTGAACAACGCCCTGGGTCCTCTGATCAAATACTGTATATGTTCAGTAAACAATGTTAAATTGAATGATTTATAGAAGTGTAAATATGGGCGGCCCTAATTGTGTCCGTGTGCTCCAGACACAACAGTAGCCAGTGCTGTGCATCTTATGTCCTTTGGCGTTTGGTATAAACATTATGGCTGGGTATAAAAACTACAAAGTAAGAAACTTCTGGCTTGGAACTGAATGTAATACTGTGCACCCTGTTTCACCTCATACTATTCTGACACTCTAAACACTTCACAACTTTCAAAGCAAAAACTTTCACTTTTCAATAAAAAGTTTGCTTTTCAAAGACTTACTGTTGCTTACTGAAGAATGTGTACAAGTCGATGTGATAACATACACCACAAATAAAATTTAGATTTTGTATTTCTATATTCAGACTGAAACTGAAACAATGTTCATTCCAAACATAAGCTTCATGTCTCCTGGGTGTTGCTATCTAGGTAAGCTGTGATAAATAAGCTGCGTACTCAGGAAATGTGGTGCAGATAAAAGTGTTCTGCACTCCATAACAGTGAGACTCTTTGAAAAAGAAAAGTATTTAAAGGGGTTAGGTCCTTATTGGGTTTCACTTCATACATTCAAAAGAGGATCAGCACCTCTGTAATGACCTTTTCTGAGTAAGAGAGAGATAATGAGTCTTAGTGCATTTTAAATGCAGCTCCAATAGGTTCAGATTCCAGTAGCCTGAGTCATTTATTTTTAATTCTTCTTTTCTATGACTAAAAGGAGCCCGCATGTGTCTCTGGAACGCTAGCTTTGTTCTTGTTCATAAACATGAGGATTGAAACACGAGGGCAGCCATGCGAGGTGTCATTTTCTACTACCTGAACATACAAATCCTCTTACAAAATCAATTAGAACTCAGAATAATATCTGTGTCTCTTCTACTAAAATGCCTGGAGGAAACGCCACCCGCTCTTCAAACCTCCTCTCATTAAATCCTTGCCACTTGAAAATTTCCCTGTGCTGAATCTTTCCCAAATCAAAGCTCAACAGCGACTGCCATTTCTCTTCATATTCTCACCGTCGCAGAGAACCTTGTTTTTGTCCATTTTGATTTTCTTACTTGACTTGATGGTCGACACTTTCATTTCACACTGAGGTTAAACTCAAAAGACCATGAGGTTTTAAGATGAATAGGTCAAAACCAAAATACAGAAGTGTCTGAAAAGTTACTGTTTGCAGACGGTAGCTGCATGTTTATGCACAGTCATCCTCAGTCCAGGCCTCAATAACACAGGGTCGTCCTCTAGCACTCCTCTCGCAATCTTTTCTATGGCCCCGTTCATAATTCAGGATGGGATTTTGGAGAGATGGGACGATGCAACTCATTCGGCAGTGTTCTGCTCCGCGGCAGATAAATATTCACCGATGTGTCTCATATTCACCTTCCAGCATCAGCTCTTTTCCTCAGCAGGGTCAGACAATCTCTGGATTTGGAGAATTGAAACCTTATGGAGAAACTTTCTGTTACAGTATCTCTTACAGAGATTAGGGGCTATGAGTCCTATATTATATTCACAGCATTCAGAAGACTCTTACAAAAGTGCCTTGTTGTCTACTCAGGAAACATATCCTGGAGCTAGCATGAATAGGTCTAAACATACCATGAAGCTAAGGCATTGCCTGAAACAGATTCATAGCTACATAATACACAGATTACAGGACTTCCGTTGTTGTTTTTCTTAAGTGCACAATTACTCTTCATTTAAATGTTTATGTAAGAGTCTTCAGTTTGCTATTGCAGATTAAGGTTTAGACAGCTAGTAGAAGTGCACTCCACCA